TCCAGCAGCTGTTCCCAGCAGTCTCTGGAGGGTGATTTGAGGCCTATGGAACAGCCGTGGAGGTGGTCTCTACCTCTTGGCATCGAGCGGTCCCTCGCCAGGAGTGCCGGCAGAATGTCTCGTGCCCTTTGCCGAACCGAGCGAAGCACATTTTTCAGGGAATTCCTGCGGGCGAAGCAAGGAGCGCAGCCTGCTTTCGAGTCAGCACATGGAGTAACTGTGCAGAGAGTTGCCTAGCTGCTGTCAGCGTTTTGCTCCGTGATTTTGTCTTCCTTGTGTAATCGTTCCGGCTGTTCGACACTCGTCTGTGCTGGCACTGGGAGCTAACTGCAGCTGCCTTCTCCCTGAGAGAGCTTGAGCCCAGGGACCCAGCCCTAAACCGGGGCTGGCCACTTAATCTTCAGCTAGTAAGAGAAGAAAAATGGTTATTGTGGCCCATCCTTCTCCGTGTGGTGAGTCCATCGCAATGGGCCCAAGGTTTGACAGGACTCAGGAGCACGTGGAAGGGATGGGAGTGAGCTGGTGCTGCCAGCGTCTCTCCTGTTGCCTTTCTGTGCTCTCGTGCACCCAGACCCATCCTTGTTTCAGTTTCTCTCCTGGTTTATCTCTGGTTTTGCAGTGAGCAGCTGTGGGGCTACTGTTCCCAGCTGTTCTTTGTACTGGGAGCATGTGGTGGTTGTTTTCTTTACTTCTCCGTGTTGTCAGCTCTGTGATTTCTGCTCTCTTTCTGGCGCCGCGCTCCTTTTCCTACCCTGCTCTTTTCTCGTGCCAGACTTGGAGCTTTGGCTTTTCCCTGGAATATTCTAACTGCCTCATTTTAACAGGCACACCAGAAAAAAAACAGTTCAAGATCAGTGGTACAGAGACTGAAAAGATGAAACTGTTTTCAGAGTAGAGGATGATAAGTAAAGGAGAAATCTCCTGTGAGATAGTTGAACTGTTGGAATAGAAATGGCAAAGCGAACTCCTGTCCCTGTCGGGCTGTGCTAGGAGAAAGAGGTGTTCAGTAACGCTCACAGCTAATGGAAAGATAACTTTTCATGCAAATAACGATTTGCCGACAAACTTTCTGCCAGCAGACATCTCAAAACCCAAGAACTACATTGAATCTAAGCCCTTTTGAGGTTTGCGAGTATGAAACACACCAAGAGGTCTGTTAAGCTACCCCGACAAGTCTGTTAGACTATAGACTATTCTTTTTCAAAGTTTAACGCAAATCCAACGCAAGAGGGACAGGGAAAGCTTTGGATTTATGTTACTCTAGATACTATTTGTGACACAGAAGCAAAACTGCTCCCTGCTGCTGGAAGGAGGGGAGGGGAAAAAGAAAAAAAAGGCATGCTCCATGATTATCTGTCTGCAAGTGAATTTGTGCACACCTGTGCCCTGGGAGTGTGGTTATTTCTAATTGTAGCTTTGACGCTTTTCCTTCCTGTCTGCCAGGTTTGGTCACTGGCCATGGTAGCCACTGATCTCTGTCTTGGACCGAAGTCTGACCCAGATTTGGAGATACCTTGGGCGCAGCATCCATTTGGACGGCAATTACTGGAGTCCCTGTAGGTGTCTGGATGCCGGGGAGGGGTTGGGGAATGGTTGCTGAAGCAGAGCCCTCCATAACTACCTATGTCATAAGGCATCATTTCAGACTTGGAAAAAGACCACAGCTTGTTTTTGTTTTTTTTTTTTACTTCTCTCAAGCCTGATACGCACCAAGAAGGGAAGCCGCAAATATGTTTGAGTATATCAAACGTTTGGCCGCCCCGTCTACCACCCAGGTCGTCTTCGGCTGGCATTGAGCAATAGGTCAGGTACAGCTGGAGCTCTGCTCTCCAGCCTGCCCGCAATGCCTGAGGTCGAGATTTTGGTCGGTGCAGCCAATTTGCTCGCCTTCAAATTCCCCTGTTTTTTTCCTGGGAAATCATTCCACTGCTCTCAAAGCCACGTGTTAGCTGGAGATGTGCCAGTGAATCTGTTCGGGAGGGGATGTAATTAGTAATTGATATTATCTGTTGATACGCCCTGTTTGGAGATACAGGATTTGGACGGGGTACTTTGCACACCCTTGCTTGACCTGGCTCTTCCCTGCTGTGAGGCAGCAGCGGGAGTTCTGCTGAAGTTCTGAAGAACTGAAGTTCTGAAGAACAGGTAGTTCTTCATCACTCTCAGTCTTCGGAGCAATCAAGAACTTCCCAGGCATCCAGAAAGCCCATGATGGGGTTTTCCCACGTGATCTAAATGCGGGATGCTTGCATGTAGAGATGGTTTGGATTGGTGACTGGGGTTGAGTCTGATGGCTCCACTTAAAATCAGTTCTGTGGATGTTCCGGAAGCTGCACAAACTTGGGATCATCAGGCCACGAGCCTCGCTGGATTCTCCCAGCTGGTTGGCTGCGAGCATTTCCTGAAGGAGGACTTGGCTCCTCAGAGGTGCCACAGGAAGGACAACCCTGCAGGACACATGTGCCTGCTGCAGGCGGTAACGTCACCTGGATTGATTTATGCAATAGGCTCAAAATTAGCTGTCCCGGAGTCTCGATGTTTTTGCCGCTGAGCTCTGCACCATCTCATACCGTCTTGTCTTTTTCGTTTCCCAGGCTGGCTCATTACTCGCAGCTCCACGACGTGCAGACCCTGGCCATGCTGTGCAGCGTGTTTGAAGCCCAGTCCAGGTTACAAGGGTGCCCGAATTCCTATGGCCCCTTCCCTCAGCGTGCCTCCAACCTGGCCTCCCACAGCCGATACGTATGACTGCTCTTTCTTTCCCGTTTCTCTTGGCTACCTTTTGAACACCTCTCAAGTAGCTGATGTGATTTCCTTTCCTTTTCCCCTCAACAGCCCAGCTTTACCTCCTCTGGCTCCTGTTCCAGCATGTCAGATCCTGGCACCGGAGGCTGGAGCATAGGTACTGAGACATGGATAGTGAACAGAGGAATCTCCCTCCCTTCTGGCCGGGGTTTTGGCTTTGAGAGCAGCTTCTTGGGGTTTGGCCTCTGTGACTTCATGGCTGGAAGCGAGCAGGGCTTGTAGTAACCATGTCCTGCCCCTTCTGACTTGTGCGGCATGTTGGCCTGGCTGGGCTTTGGAGAAGCTGTCGCAGATGCCCTGGGCTTACCGAGCTCAGCCCCTGGATCACGGGTAACCCAGAGCCAAGAGCTCCCACAGGTGCCTTTTCCAGTTGGAGATAAAGAAAGAGAGAGCCCGATTTGTACCGGTTTGCTCCCAGCCTGGCTATAGCAGCACTCGGGGTGACTGCCCCCATGGTTCCCAGATTGGTTCTCTGTCACCTTCCTAGATTTTGAGGTCAGGCTGACTGACCTGCAGTTCCTCGGGTCCTCCTCCTCGTCCTTTTTGAAGGCAGGGGTGACACTTGCTGTCCTTCAGTCCTCAGGCATCTCTCCCAGTCACTGCTATCATTCAGCGATTGGTGAGAGCGGCTTCACAATGTTGTCAGCCGGCTAATTCCCTCGGGTTGGGGGGTAGAAAGCAGTGCTGTGCTTTCTCCTGTCACTGGAAAAACAGCAGCGGTGGGGAAGGTTGGATTCTCGGTGCTGTGAGCACTTAAGGACGTTTTCTGCTGAGCTGTGAAAGTGTCAAAGAAAAGTCACTTTTAAGGGCTCCAGTGTCAGAGCTGACAGCTGATTCCTTGTGATACACATGGCCTGGGGCAGCCTCAGCCCTGTCAGCACCCAAGGCGTGACTTTTCAGGGCAATATCAAGGCATCGGTGACACGGGGAAGAGCAGAGAATGGGGGTTAGCAGAGCCAGTGTTGTCTTGCAGCGGTCATTAGCCATCTTCTCCCTGCCCCTGGGGCAATCCCTTACGTACTACAGAGGCCCCTTTACGTAACTGCAGCCGTGGCGAGGAGAGTCCTCCCTGTCTAGGAAAGAGGAGTCTGGGTCCGTTGGGAATAACATTTCCAAGCAATCTCTGTGGGATTGATTGCCTGGATACTTTTTGTCTGAAGTGGAAGGCAAGGAGGGATTCCTCCATGTTGGATTTCTCTTCCTGAGGGTCCCCATGACCAGAAGTGCAGAAGAAGCTTGGCAGGCGTGGGTTGGCACTTGATTTTCAGAGGCAGGGCAGTGTTAGTGAAATGCAGAAAACGATAGGAGAGTGTTTTGGAGAGAAAACTGGAATGTGCGAGCGCGTGGTCTCCTTCCTCACCCACCCCAGTTTAGGCGAGGTTGTGCCTTTTGAGGTCACGCTCACGACCTCTCGATGCTTTCAGCAAACAAAGACACGGAGCAGGGCTCCGCTCCCTGGTGCGAGTCTTCTCCGGATGACTTCCGCTACGGAAACCTGACGTACCCCGATCACCGGGAGCGTGAGAAGGACCAGCATGAGAAAAACAAGAGGTGGGTTACAGCGTGCCTTGGGGGTACTCAGGGCTTGCAACCGGAGTCTCTGGGAGTCAGATCAGGTGGATGAGAACCCTGCTTGTTCCTCTAGGCTCCTGGATCCTGCCAACACTCAGCAATTTGACGACTTCAAGAAGTGCTATGGAGAAATCCTTTATCGCTGGGGGTTGCGAGAGAAGCGAGCTGAGGTTCTGAAGTTTGTCTCTTGTCCTCCTGATCCCCACAAAGGAATCGGTGAGTGCCTGCTTTGGTCTGCTCCCGCTGCCCGGGCAGAGTCACGGCTCTGCCTCGGGAGCTCGGAAACAGGCAGTCGGCATGCGGAACGGGAGGCGTCCGTCGCTCTGCCCAGAGGTTAGCTCTGCCGGCACGTGGTTTTGGCTTCTCCACAGCTCTGGGTGGAGACGAGGCTTGCACGTGTTGGTTCATGGGCTTTGTAGACTGTAACAATCTCTCCAGCAAAGCTGGAAGCACACGTGTTGTTACGCTAGCGACCTTCAGCTCTGTGTGCTGACAGCTTTCCTTTATTTCCTCTCTATAAGAGCCCAAACATGCGCTGTCCTGATGTCGGGTTTTGGGCTGTGTGTAAAATTGCAAGATCTCCAGCTGTGGACGAGCCAGCCAAGAAATAGGCAAACCAGAACATTTCTCCCAAAATATTTTCAGCAGCGTAGGTGCCCACAGCTGCCGCTTAAGGCCAGCTGCCAAAATGTCTTGTTCCCAGGCCTCACGGAAAAGATGCGCCTCGCCTCGGGGGAGAGAAGCAGACGTGAGAGATGCCAGAGAAGCAGCAGTGATCTCCCACGTGGAGAACAAACCGAGACCTCTTAAAAAAAACCCCTCTCCTCCTAATTTTGCTCTCTGTTTCTTCTCCTCCCACCAGAGTTCGGGGTGTACTGCAGCCACTGCCGCAGCGAGGTACGCGGCACCCAGTGTGCCATCTGCAAGGGCTTCACCTTCCAGTGCGCCATCTGCCACGTGGCCGTGCGGGGCTCCTCGAACTTCTGCCTGACGTGTGGGCACGGGGGCAACACCAGACACATGATGGAGTGGTTTCGCACGCAGGAGGTGTGCCCCACGGGCTGCGGGTGCCACTGCCTGCTCGAGAGCACCTTCTGAGCAGTCCTTGACAGCAGGGACTCCCATCAACCGGATTTTTCATATTTAATTCCCAAGCCGTGTTGAATCGGCTCTGCTCCATGCTTTCTGCCACGGGGAGCCGAAGCAGGATGTCGCAGCGCTGCGCCGTGGTGACGAGTGCTTCCAGTATTCCTACGCTCCCCAGGTTCCTCTCGGACCGATTCAACCAAACTCCCTGTGTCCATTGCTGGCGATGGATGCCGGACGAGGAAAACTGCTCTCTCCCACAGAAGGGCGCGTTGAGGTGAGAAGATGTTAAAAAGCTCCTTGGGAGAGGCAGAGCCAAACTCCCTCCAGCTACGCGGCGTCTTTCCAGGTGCCTCCGGGCAGGGGCTCAAAGTGGGTGAAGCAGTTGTCTCTGCTCCAAGAGCAAATAGTCCGCAAGGCTGCGGACTTTTGGAAGCAGCAGGTTCCTTATCTCGAGTGGCCGTTTGCATCGTTTAGGTTACCCTGTAAAGCAAAAGAAGGAAACTGTGTTTTTCAGGATTAATTCCCAAATAGCTTCCTACTCAGTGGTTGGTATCTGGGGCCGGGGCGAGGAGCCCAGCCGTGCACCCGAGGTCGCTAGGAGTAGTTGCTTTCTCCCAGCTGTTTCAGTACCATTACTCTTCAGGCGTCTCCTCCATGTCCTGCTCTGCCCGGGTGGTGTAAAGCACTTTAACCTGCCTGTCCCTGCCTTGGCTGTGACACGTCCTGGTGACCGTGGAAGGCAGCTGCCTTTGGAGTTGGGGATCCACAGCATGGACGGTGGCGTCGGAGGGTGTTTCAGAAAGCCTTTGCTTCCTTGCTGAGAAAACACGAGGAGGACACTTGCTCCGTGCAACTCCCTTTGGTTCTTCTCCAGGCTCTGCAGCAGGATGGGGAATCGACGAATAATTCAAGGTTTGCTGCCAACATGCTTGAGTGATGAGACTCCTGAGCAGCAATTTCTAGGGGAAAAGGGGTTTTGGCGAGGTGGTGGGATTCACGGAGGCAAAAGGTTTGTGCCTTTTCTCCCTGCGGAGCTTTAACTGGAGAATGTACTGGCTCCATACATCTCGTTGGGGCTGTGCCCAGCGGGGGGACGCTGCTGGGCGGTTGCGTGTGGGTTTCGGTCTGAGCTTTGGTTTTGGACAAACGTGTGCTTGGGGAGGTACCGGAGCCCACTGGAGGTACCGGTGCCCCCCATCCCTTTGCGCTAACTTGGGCTGTTGGCTCCTGCCGTGGAATAAAAACAGATGGTGTATCTTAAACATTAAAACTATTTTTTTAAGCGCTGTTCTGATACAACTTGGTCTTGCTGTGCTAGTTCTCCCTCCGTGGCGGGTGGCACTGCACCCCACAGCCCCCTCCTCGCACCCCAAAGCTGGGGGTCCTGCTCCAGATACCTGTGCCTGGTGACAACAGTGACCCTGCAGTTGCTGGGGGGAGCTTGCCAGCTGCTGTTGGGACCCCCAGCCCCGCTGCCTTTGTGTGGGGACGATGTGACAGTGTGTGGCACCCCTAGTGCCACACCGGGCTGGGAACTGCCCACGGGTCGTGACGCGCCTCTTGTGAAAACGA